TGCATCTACACACTGCAGTTTGACGCGCACTACCTTGTCAGTGGCAGTCGCGATCGGACGATTCGCATCTGGAAGATGAATACGCGGCGCTTGCTACGGGCTCCGCTCAAGGGACACGAAGGCTCGGTTCTGTGCTTACAGTTCGATGCCGATCCCGAGGAAGATCTCATTGTTTCGGGGAGTAGTGACTCCAATGTCATCCTCTGGCGCTTTTCGACTGGCGAGATCATTCAGCGTTTGACTAAGGCGCACTCTGAGTCTGTTCTCAACGTCAAGTTTGACAAGAGGATTCTTGTGACCTGCTCCAAGGATAAGTCTATCAAGATCTTCAACAGGCGGCCGCTCAAGTATGGCGATTTGGGATACCCTAATGGGGTGAATCCTGTGCCTATTCGCATCCGAGACAATAGGTACGGCAATCCTACGGACGACCTACCCATCATCGCCCCGTACACCATGATAGGCCGTCTCGATGGCCACGGTGCAGCTGTCAATGCTGTGCAAATTCACGGGAACGAGGTTGTCTCCGCAAGTGGTGACAGGAACATCAAAGTGTGGGACTGGGCGAAACAGGTCTGCACCAGAACCGTCGTCGGTCACACCAAGGGCATTGCATGTGTGCAGTACGATGGGCGCCGAATCGTGAGCGGCAGCAGCGACAACGAGGTCAAGGTTTTCGATTGTTTGACCGGCCTAGAAGTGGCCAGCCTTCGGGCTCACAGCCACCTGGTCAGGACCGTGCAGGCGGGGTTCGGTGACCTGCCTTATAGTGAGATCGAGGACAAGGCCGAGGCCAAGAAGATTGACGAGCAATACTTTAAAGCGTTGGAGTCCGGGGCGATTGAGGCACCTGTAGGCCCAGGGTCTCACCGCACGCGGCCCCGTAACGCAGGGAGCAGTCGGCCAGAAGACATCACGGCATACGGAGCCACCTTGCCCCCCGGAGGCGGCGGCGGCAAATACGCGCGTATCGTGTCGGGCTCATATGACCAGAAGATCATCATCTGGCGGCGTTTGAAAGAAGGGGAATGGGTGGTGCTTCATCGTCTGCGTCAAGAAGAGGCCGCTGAAGCTGCACAAAGCTGGGCGGCAACCTCCGGCTCTATCCCCGTGCCAGCGCCGGCCTCTACAGTGCCCGTACCGACCGCAGCGCACCCACCAGCACCGATTCTTGCCAGCTTCAGTTCGCACCAGCCCTTTCCACCGAGGGCTTCCACTCCAGGGTCTGCTGCTCCGCCCCAGGCCGGCACGCCGCAGAGTCAGAATACGCCCTCAAGGACAACGGTCGAGACTCCGATCATCGCAACGGTCACACCCGAATCCACGTCATCTTATATGGCCATGATCGACATGCTCGTGCCGCAAGGGGCTCAGGCGCTGCAGCAAGCTCTGGCGACTTACCCCACCATGCTGGTATATCACACGCATATTCAAGCTGCTATCACACGGGAGCCGTCACCAGTCACTCGAACAAACATGCGTCAAGTCGTTGCACAGGCTCTACATCAGACGCAGGAGGCCCAGGCGCGCACACGCTTAGCTTCCGTTCAGAATATGAATGGCCAACTGATGACGCCTGTTTTGCCCCCACTTGCTTCTCTCACAGGCACATCTTCGTCTACATCGGTCCAGGCAGCAGCTGGCTCTTCGACTGCGAGTACTTCAACCGCAGCGCCAAGTCGTAGCAGCAGTCGTCCTTTTGACCCTGCGCGACACCTGGAGAGGCACTCGGAACCACCTCAGGGCGCGATGGCCACGGCGCAGAGTGCTGGGCGAGCCTCCTCTTCACAACTCAGCTACCCTCCACCACCGCAGCAAGTCCAGGGCCACCTTCACATTCAGGGGCATGGAGCACCGTCCCAAGTGCACCAGCAACCTCCCGTCCCACCTTCGGCTCCCGTTCAGCATCACTCCACCCCAGTTCCGCAGGCGCATACTCATGCACAGGCTGCCCAGAATCAACCAACGCAAGCACAGACACAGCCAGTACTTCCGCAACCGACCGCCCCGCCGGCAAACAACCCGCAGCAGCCAGCAGACGCCCAGGCCCCGCACCACCCCCACATTCATGCGACAGAAGGCAGCCCGGCAAGGGTGTTCAAGCTGCAGTTTGATGCCCGTCGCATCATCTGCTGCAGTCAGACAAGTGTGATTGTTGGATGGGACTTCTGCAATGGGGACGCAGAGCTGGAGGAAGTATCACGCATCTTCGGGACGATTGAATGAGGTGGCGAGCGTTCCTTAAGTGTAGCCATGACGGATGTAATAGAACAAAACTTTTTACGAGGAAAGGGCCAGCGATCGTGAGCTATCACGAGTGAGGTCGAGTCGAGTGAATGCATGCATAGATGTGTTTTATTACCGACACAAAGAAACGAAGACACGGGGGAAGCCACAGAGGTCTCTTGTACCCTGAGATGTCACGTATCGTAGAGATGTCCCATATCACCAAGGTCACACGCCTAACTCCATGATTCGTCAAGTCGCCACGCCGCCGCGGTACTCATGCTGCCGCCTCTTTGACCTTACTCGCCTCCTTTGCCGCGGGCTCCTCGTCAACAAAGTCCGGCAACTCCTCCTGCATAAAACTCGGCACGGCGCCAGCGCCGAGCTCCGGCTCCAGCTCGGCCTCGAGCCCCAAAGCCTCGAGTTCAGCATCCAGCTCGGCCTCGTCAACGTCCTCGGGCACGTCGTAGCTTCTCGCCAGACTCTCCTGGATATCGTTGCCCACGTCCATGAGGTCGGCCATCTCGTCCTGCAGCCTCTCAATCTGGTCAATGTCGACCTTGCCGTACTGCTTCTTCAGCTCCTTGTTCGTCGTCTTCATGGCGTCGACGGTGGCCATTGTGTTCTTGAGGTTGTCCTGCATGCTCTGCGCCTGCTCCATGTTCCAGCTCTGGCTCTGCAGCTGGTCGCGCTGCGACTCGATCATCTTGCGCCGCTGCAGGACCTTGAGCGCCTTGGACTTGATGGCCGCCTTGCCTGGGCCGTCGCGCATCTTGCTGAGCTTTGTCTGGTAGGTCTGCAGCTCGGCGTTGACCGAGGCCAGCTTGACGTCGAGGGACGCGACGCGTTCGTCGAGGTTGGCGATCGCGCTGTTGAGCGTGGGCTTGGGGCCCTTCGGGGCGCCGCCGAAGAGGCGGTTCATTGCGGCAGCGGCGGCGGAGGAGACAAGCTCGAAATTGGAGTGCTCTCGTGGGGTTTCGGTGAAGATCAATCGAGCTCCAGGGTGAAAGTTGTTCAAGGACGAAGGGTGGGCGCAAGGAGGTGTAGCTTGGGCTTTGGGGTCACGAGGCAGCAGTGTTGGATATGGCGGGGCACCGGTGAGGTAATTGCCCACCTCGGGTACCACCCACTGAAGCTTATCTAATCACGCATTGGGGTTAATAAAGGATCATGATTTAATGAAAGACGCCATCTGTTCAACTCCAGCCATAGGGCCATAGATTACGCATGCTAGAAGCGCATTGCAGTTTGTATTCTGGACCCAAAATACTATCCAACTGTCTTGAAAGCTTGAAAAGAGAGCATGCTAGGGTATATCAAGGCCAATACCCTCTTTGCTGCTGCCAAAAGCCTTGGGTTACCGAACATACATCGCTCGAGGCTTCATCTCAGATCACAAAATCTACTTTACGAGCAAAGTGACAAGCGGAATATTCTTTCTAGCCAATTTTCTTTTGCTCTTACTTGAAAGAGGGTGGGCTGTGAGCTTCGAAATTGGACCTGATGTATACTTACAAAGCTGTTGCTGGCTGGTACGGCGGAACAGCGAACTACGAGCCACCAACAGCAAACAGAGCGGTTTTTTGCGTCATAACCCTCGGAAGGAAAGAACAAGTCAACTTCATTCACTCAAGGTGTTATGAAGGCAGCCCCTTGTCTCGAGAGTAAGCCCTGTGTCTTATCTCTCTGTTCGATCACGACCAACTGTCAGGAGACCCTACGAAGCCACGGCACAGAGAGCTAGTCAGAGGATAAGGGCTCTGAGAATATAAATATATGGACTCCAGAGAGCCAGAACTCAGAACTCAGATGTATTCCGAACCCATACCTAAATTATATTTCTGAGGAACATGTGGAAGGCCTCATCACCCTGCTCTTAATCAACCACTGACACCTACCACATCAAACTTCGAACACCAATGCTGTATTGAACTTGAAGATTACAACCCGCCTATCTCTAAAGTATAGGGGGGTGGAACTACAACTAAACCATCAAAGAGTCGAAGGACTTTTGCCAGCTAAGCACTAACACAATCAGCAAGACTTGAGTGTGGCATTTTCTTTGGCAGACCAATCGAGATCAGATCAGCTGCCAATAGATTTTTAACTCTGAGATTCTTCCCATTGAGGGGTTCATTATGTGACACTGATTGCAGCATTACCGCATAGGTGACAGCGTGAGACTCTTGCAGCGGTCTGTTCGTAGGAAACACTACTTGCGCAACATAAGTTTCCCATGAATTCGGTTTTTTATCGCACTTCTTTCGCAATGTAGAACTTTTTACCTCTTGTTAACTTGAAGAAATCAACTTTTGAGGCAGTCACGGTCTATGATATCACTTAGCGATGGACATAGACGGCCGTTTCGAAGCAAAGCGTCCCCCCCGACATGCATCCGTTTCATCTTTCCAACAGGCACATTTACTGTATTATCTGGTCTATATATATGATATGAGTGAAATGGCTTCTGCACGTCGGGTGATCCTTGCGTCTGGTTTCGTCACCTCTGGCTTGGTTGCAGTAACTAAAGTTGCCATTCTTGGTGTACCGACGATCACTTCTCTTTCCTTCGTCAACCCACTGATATGTAGCAGAGATATTTTAGCAGTGTCGGCATACCGCGAGCACCCTACCTCCCAACTTGAACAAGTTGCCGGGTGGGTAGGCAAGGGGGAGATAAAAAAAGCCACACTCCTTAAAGATGAGCTCACTTTGAACCATTCTATCATACTTTACATGAGCTCAAATCCAAAAAAAGTAGATTCGCCATCAAGATGTCGCAGCATATCTAGTATGTGGAATTTAGAGTATTTAATTGAGATACGAGGTGTTAAGAGGGTTTCCAAGTTAAGAGTCTTTCTGGATGATACTTGTATTTAACGAATTCAGAGTACAGCTTCCCCCATTGATGGGCTATCAGAGTAAAAGTTTCCCAAAACTTCAACGCCTTATAGGCAGGAAGCCCAGAGGTTTGATGCATGCTATTGGATGTAAATGGACAGGTGTCTAGACTTTGATCAACAAGAGTCCATCAACCGATTCGCCAAAATTGGCGCGAATTGCTTTAGCTGCGTTGCCTCGGTCGACATTCGTCTAGCGTTCGTGGTCCTACCGACAAGGATAAAGCTGACGCCAAGGAAATGTAACATGCGCGAAAATGACAAGAAACAAAAAGGGGCGAAATCGCCCCCAAAAACCTCGCTTGACTTCCTTTCTTCGATCTAATTCATTTTAACCCAGGAATCATGGGTCTAGTTGACGTCCCTCCTCCACATATCCCCTCGTGGGTTGTGCCGACATCTTTCGCACTCCTCGCTGCTGGCGCACTCTGCTGGGATGTTACCTACGTACTGCTCGCCTTCCGTAGCCGGCGGACGCACTCTTATGGCATGCCTCTGCTAGCCTTGGCTCTCAATATTTCCTGGGAGATAATCTTTGCCATTGGCATCGCCGAGCAACCTCTCGAGCGCATCGGCTTTCTCGCCTGGCTTCTCCTTGACATACCCGTTCTACAGGCAACCATTCGCGCAGCGCCTCGAGAGTTTGCTCACGCCCCGCTCGTCGCCCGCAATATTGTGCCTATGGTCGCCGTCGGCTGCGCCGGAAACGCCGCGTTCGCGTATTGGTTCTTTGCCGTTCCCGGTCGCGGGTCCGGTGATAAGGCTGGCAAATGGTGGCGCGGCGCAGAGGGCTACGACTGCACCGAGCTGGCGTTCTGGACAGCTGGCATCGCGCAGCTGACAGTGAGCGCAGGATGTCTCGCCATGCTTTTCGAGAGGGCCCACTCCGGAGGCACTAGCTATGCAATTTGGTGAGTTTTGACTTCCGCCGTCCCTGGTGCTACCTCCCGTTCTCGCTATCAGCAACGATGATGTACTCGCGTAATGGGAGCGGCATGTCTTCCGAGCGAACCACCCTTGCTGTTCGTGTAAGGGGCGATGACCGGAGTTCCTGGTAGATGACACCGCCCCGTTGCCCGGCAATTCAGATTTACGCTGAGAAGATGGTGCTTTTGACCGGCACTTGATGATCCTTCAGAGGCTTTGTTTGAACTCCTGCGCGGGAGGGCTTAGCGGCCAAGACGCACTGAGTGGCTCATAAGAGCATAGGGCTCATTGTGCGCGTGGTCGTGTAGTCTCGGTTCAGCTTGGTGGGCTCAATATGCTCCTGGAGAAGTCAGTTTCTTGCTTTGAAGCCCACAAGGCTGACGACACATCACAGGTTTACCAGGTCGCTGGGCACATTGTTGGGTTGGATAGGACCATCGGCACTACTTTGGTGCTTCTGGCCAGAAGCTCACGGCTTCTTCGTCAACCCCGTGGCTGTATTTCTCATGGCCACATGTTTGACTTGCGACATGATTTATCCCATGGTCTTGGCACAAGTTAGACTCACCGAGGTCGTCCTCCCCGATGGCAGTATTGTGGCAGGCGGCGATCATGCAAAAGCGACACTTGCAAAGATGCATTGAGGTCAGATCTGAATAGAAAGACACGTCAGACCCAAACTCAACTGGGTTAGTGGCTGACGGAGAACCGCAAGAAGCAACAGCAAAGTCCATGGAGGAAATCTCGAGGAGATGTCTAGACACGAGCGCTATGTCAATCGCATGTCACATTTAACTGGATCAGTCTTCTGAGCCAAGGACCGAGGAGCACATGCCCATACTGACATACAAATGGCCAAGGATCCAGAATGTGACAACAATGTTTAGTGATCGCCGAAGGATCTGACATGCGACATGTCGTTTGCTCGAAGCTCCCGTCTGGGGCTTGTGGTGATACAACAGACAGTTGGTCCGATTTACGCAATGGCCAGGCCCGCCCCCGAAGGATCAGAGACTGGTCATCGATCCGAGCAGCGAAAAGCAGAGCCAACGACCCAATTCTATAGGCCAAGAGAACGATGTGGTTTGGAGCATTGCCTCCGAATCGGACATTTTGGTCGAAAGTCCGCCGGTTTCGATCATTGCCCAGGGCGGCAATCTTGCATCATGGTGGCGATGTACCTCTGACCCTTGCGAGCTCCGTGCATGTTCGTAAAGACGCTCACCACACTCTCTGGAATTGTTCAAGTCCAACCTCGAATGGAAACGGTGAAAAGGCGTCAAAAGACGAAACGGTCATCCGAGCGGTTGGGTTCGAAGGATCATTTCATTTCCGCTGTGAAAGCCAACGTGCGTCTACTCTGGTAAGAAATCTTGGGCACCGAACACGATCCTTACAAGCCTCAGCATTTGTTCGGTGAACTGACAACGTTGCAAGCAGACCTGGCGGGAAATGTGCATGAGCCACCAAGTCCCGCACATATGATTTTACACCTTATGATCATTGTAGCCCTCATGATATGCTGGCCCAGTCCATCATTTGAGAAGGCCACGGAAGGTGCTCAGAGGTCCATAATATGACCATCACTCCTCGCGCAGCTCACTACGAGATCTCGGCGAGACATAAGGCCTGGTTGCTAAGGACGATCTGAAGCTCATATCACCAGCTGCGTCACGGGATCTTAATGAAATGTGTCTCGTCGCTCCAGAAGTGAAGGAAGTATGTACACAGTGGGAATGCGCCGTGCTGCTAGCTTGACGGATGTATCTTGCCCAACACACTGATGTACTCCGGGGTCCGTGTTGAACAAGGGGGCTTGTTTTCAATCCCATGCTCTCCTGGTGGAGGCGGAGCGAAGCTTTCGTCGTCCTGAGGGATGAGTGTGTTGTCAAGCGACGGAAGACCCGTTTAATCAAAAGATCCTGATGTCCCCTAATTCACCAAACCATATCCCTCAAGCTTGGTGTCATCACATACTACCTCATAGGCTATGTACCACTGTCAGGTGGTAGTGAATCACTACGTGCACTACGTGGCCCGAGGCAGAAATTTGCGAAAGACAGTCGCGCCGTAAGTGAAACGATGACGGTGAACCTGAGGCGAGTCACATGAGCGAACACTCCTGCGAGTATGAAAGCAGGGATGGAAGGGACCGCGGCAGGTTGTGTTCCGTACACGAAGACTGCATGGATCCAGGATGGCAAGGTCTCCTTCCCGATCAGTGTTTGTCGTTTGTCACGTCGCTTGGAGGGGCACAGGGCCAGCTGGTTAGTTGGAATTGTACGCCCTGTGCTGAACGTTCGAGGATGTGCGAGGTTGGGCGCACTTGAAGGGGATCAGCCTCTGTTGATGCCCAAGACTGAATCCACCTTAGCCGGCCCACGAGGGCCGGAGACGGAGGGCCTCATTGCCGGCGATCGTGCCAGAAAAGGCTACCCGCGGAGGGTGAACCTGTATGAACTAGATGTACAAGTATTTTACGCCATAGGGGGATCAATGCTCAACAGTGTAGTTTGAGACTGTCAAGCAGATGGACAGGGTATCGTGGGCGAGTTAGACATGCCGCCGACAATGCACTTTCCCAGTAAAACTTTATGATGAATGTACCCTCAAGTCACAAATAAAAACTCATAGCAAGCCTGACTCTTTTTGGTAGCCCATTGGATCGTCCATCCGGCAGAGCACATCATCACATACCTCATTGACGTCCAAGCAGCTTTAGTGAAAGCATCACCCGAGCTATGGGTGCGCACCGGCCCCTGAAGTAACCAGATTCGACAAGCTCTTGTGCATCTGCATCCACCTGGTAGCGTGCGGGTGAATAACAGTCAACTCGAATCAATGAGAATTACTCGAGCATTTATGAGTTTCAGTCACGACATGGAGATAGGGATGGGCGCGCGACCGAAGATATCAAACGTGTTGTCCAACCATTTGACGGGGTGGGGGCCCTTTTTTCCCATAATTTCTAGGGAAAAGTCGCTGACAAGTGCTGAACAGTCCCAGCCTCGATCCCTTGCTTCCGAGGTTTCCAGGGTTAGTTGGGAACCTGACGTCGCGCAAACCATTCTACCATTTTTTGGGGGGCTGTGTACATGTACATTTGACTATTCCAGGACAAGGACAGGCGGGGTACCTTGGACGGGGACGCTGTCAATCTGTTCACCCCCCGGTTCTTTGTTAGATCCCGCTTCGGAGTTTTGGGGGGGGGGGGGGGGGGCGGGGGCCAGGGGGGAGACAAATTATGGCATAATGGTGACAAACTGCGAGGCCTCACAAACTGCGAATGAGGCAAAGGCCCTTGGCCGGGAACTTCGGTGGGGATTGGGGCGACTCGGTCAAGATGATGCTTTCTCCATCTCTCCATTGCACGGCCCTGCCGAGCAAGAAAGTCAGGCCATTTCTGTGGGCGTTACTGAGACGTGATCTCACCGACAAGCGATTGCCAGCGCTTATCAACAGAACCAGGATACAAAAGGGGGAAGGATGCGAGAAAGATGACTTTGAACGGGTCAATCCCCGATGTGTTCAAACTCTGCTTTCGTGGGTTTCGGTGACTTAACTGGCAGACGTTATCGTGCCGGCAGGCAACGTCTCAGATGCCTCCTTTCTCGTTACTGTGAAGGAATAGTTGAATGTAACCTTGAGGGTTGTATCCTCCCATTCGGCAGTCGCTCGAAGCGACCTACGTCCAAAACGGCATATCGCTCATTCATCAAATGTACAAGGGATTAGATTTACTGATGAGCTGACAAGGCAGATACCGACACCCGTCAGCCAGCTTCCGACCGGAGATCCAGCGGAGGTGTGGCCGCCAGTAGGCTTACGCTCCCTGCCCTCCCGGTACGACGGTAGTCGAGCGATCACCCAGATCTGTCGAAAGCTGTCATAAATGACAGACTGTGTGATGGTGCTGCTCGCTCGAGCCAGGGGTGATGGAAGCAGATGCACCAGTGCTCGAAAGATAAGTGCCTGATTCTGAAGAGGATAAGTGACAGCTGAAATGCGGGTAGACTGATCCTGAACGCACATAATAATGCCACGCAGAAGACATTTCGCTCTGTTTGTGTCCCCCACACGGACGCCGACCAAACAACCTAGTCAGCAGCACGCATGACCGGTGAAGAGACATGATTTTAATGAGTGAACGCTCGAACACAGACAGGACATGCCGCACTGTCCGCTCGCCTCTCTCGGCTCACTTCACATCCAGTCAACAGACATCCAAGTCCCCGGTCGTTCAGGCTAGACCAGGCCCGCCAGGAGCCCCCTGCAAGATTCTGCACAAGGTCAGACGCAGGTCTTCATGTTCCCTCCACAGTAGACTGAAGGCTTCACTCCGAATGGGGTGCATCCTACATGTAAGTCTGACTAGCACGTGGATGCAGGTCATGATTCGAAGAGGCTCCCCCCGCACGCTTTTCCACGGGTCAAGATGCGGAGTATGCTCTCACCGGTGCTGGAAAGCGTGCCTTGGCTCCCTCACCGGTCGTGCCGGGTAAAGATGCAAAGCCCTGTCACCTCATCTGTCGTTCGGCCTCATTTTGATCTCCTGATCCCAGGTGTTGAGGCGCCGAGGCTAACTAGAAAGCAAACGTGCCAGGTATGCGAGTGCCCTTTTCTCACAATGTAGCTAGCCGTTGCACAATACTTTGAGCCACCGTCCAGAGAACCCGACCTGATTCCCTCGGCTTTCCTCACAGGGGGGCAAGAATGCCAAATTGTGATCATGTACGAAAACGCCAGCTACCTGCATCTCCAGCCATGATCAATGGCGAGTGACAATGCGTTAATGATACGCTGCGGGTCGGATAGTGGACTGCACATGTCAAGTTGCCTTATTGCTCCCTGCCCATAATGTCCATTGCAGAAACGTCGGCTGTTGAATGGGCGTCGCAGTGCATCAGAACATGTCGTGCGCAATCGCGCCCCCCGTAACATCTTCCGTCACCCACATCCAATAGGGCGTACACGGTGCTTGGTCATTGGCAAGATGAGGACTACGGACCGCAGCCTCCCAAGTGCCAGTTTGCTTTTTGTATCTGTAGCTTACAGCCGCCCGAGACTGCCATTCACCAAAGACCCAAAGCCAAGGCATGCCTTCACAGACACGAAGGAAAACGTGGCCGCCCCCACGGTCAGAGTCATCGTACACCACCTGTACATGTTATCATGGCCAAGCCAAACCCCCACGCCGAAACGGTCTCGTCACGGAAAGACGCAGTTGATCGAATACAGGCACGAGAGGTGGCCAAGTTCTCACCCAGGCCCATTGAAATATTCTCATTCCTGATGTGATGCAGTGGGCAAATCAATCGAGAGTCTGGAGAGTTCATGATCCGTATGGTAACGCATAGGGCCAAGCATCACGATGAATAGCGAACTGAGCAACCAATGGTTACTGTTCTCTCCTTCCCATCCGACCAGCCCAGCCCCTCCCGATCCGACATGGGCATGGTACCGCCCGCGTGCCGCCCGCTCTCATTTAACCTTGTAACCCCGTCCATAGTGTCCGCTGGGTGCTGCAACGGCCCGCGCACGGGGTGGGTTTGCTCTCGCGCCAGGGCGGGCAGGGCATGCCATACCTACCATGTACATGATGGCTCCCTGCGACCGAGAGCTTTACTTGACTGCAAGAAAGCCAAAGCGCAGCGCCTTCCCCTCACCTTCGGAAGTTATGCAAAAAAAAATACTTCTTCGCCAGTGGTCACGCTATAAGCGAAATGGCTTGTCCTGCGGACGCCCACGACACCACCAACCCGGGTACTGGCGCTGTCTGTGGATGGACGCCGATGGAGGG